GTTTCATCCCCATATATTCTGTCCCTCCAATCTCCTTCTGAATTCCCACATAACCATCACGCAACATGTAATGATATACGTGAGACAACATCGGCATCTGCTAAAACTGCTGCTTCATGTATATTTCACACATGACTTGATACTTGACAAAGTAAACATGGAAGAATGTTTTCGCATGTGTGGAAATCCAGAACACGACTCACCATTTTAGGATAAGTCGTCACAGATTTAAAACAGAGATGAAGAGACATTTCTTCCCACAAGGGTACCTATGGAATATCTAGGGAATGCAAATTGTGGAATTTATAAAAAAGAGTTGGACAGATTTTTAATTAGTAACGGGTTAATGGGTTATGGTTTTCCCGGTGCAAAATTCTCTGATACATTGACATGTATTGGTTTTACCAGAAGTTTGTTCTAATTTTCAGCAATCTGGTGCTCCTTCTCGAAATTTCTTGAAGAAAGGAAAAACACTTGAATGAATCAGGAGAGTTTGAGGGACTTTGATAGCTTGAAAGTTGTGCGGACAACCACACTTGTTTTTTAGCAATATCACATCATGAGAAGCGGTTCAGACTGCTTGTTGATGTCAGCACATTGATTTGAGTGCCATTTTACCACATGAATGTGAGATGGGAATTGAAAATACAAATGCAAATACACTTTGCCCTTTAAGTCTGCACTGTTACTCAGTAAGATAGCACACTATGGTCCAGACCAAAGGCCCTCAAAATATTCAGAAGATAATCTAGACACTAACGTTTTCTTATTTTAAAGGTAAATGTGAGGTGTTGCATACCAGATGCAATTTGATTGATCAAACTACCGGATTTAAAGCAAAACACACTTTACTTATCCACTATAAAATTCAACAAAAGAAAGAAGGAATTGGAATAATTCAACTGGGAAACTGAACAGAGTGATAGATACAGCGACTATTACTAAGTAGCTGTTCCAACATAGTCACATCCAAAAAACATACCCTTGACAAAAGACAAATTCAGAAAACAGGTTGTCTCACATGCAATTCCAGCAGCAGGAAGAGCACTCCCAGCTTTTAGCTGGAACCGAGAGAGGGTAAAAATAGCTTCTACTTCTTCAAGATCCCACCAGTAACTGCAGAAAACTAAAAACTAAAAATCCTGGTTTTGCAAGAGCTTGACCCCGCCCATTCAGGCTGCTTCGATTATTCCAACTTAAAAAAGAAATACAAAGTATCGCAAGCTGTTTACTCCAGTGACACTGGTCGACTGTTCAACACCTCTGCTTTAAAACTATTACTTTAAAAGAAAAACATGGGACAAAATAAACCTCTTAAAGCCACAGTATCATCACTGTCTTAAATGACCTATACGCTTCAACTGTTAGCCCTGGTTCTAGACTCCCCTTTCATCGGGAACACCTTTATGTCTTTGCCCCTGTTAGAATTTTCTGGGTTTGTAGGAGATCCCCCTTCATTTGTCTGAAGCCCAGTCAATGTAGACAGTGCAGTAAGATAATCGTTGACTATGATTTTAACATCAACTCTCCATTTCTGAATATCCTTAATAATCTTTAATCCACTTTATAATCAATAATCTACCTACCTGCAGTTTAAAAATAGTTTAAGATTCTGCATCCATTGCTTTTTGAGAAAGGGAATCTCAAAGACTAACAACCCTCTGACAGAAATCTTTTGTTGTCAGCTCTATCTTAAATGGGCAAAGCCTTAAATTTAAGCTATGGATCCAAGCACTGGTGTGAGGGTCAGCGTGGGTTAGGGCCATTCAGTAATTTTGTTAAGAATACTTTCTCATTTCTCACTGGATGCATAACTAAAGGGAGTAAGAGAAGGATAAGATTAGAATGGTGCGACTGTGGGCTCATGTGGTATTGTTGTATGATTTCTTTTCCCGGCCAAGAAGGCCTGGGTTGAAGTATCACATTCGCCAGAGTCGCACAGTTTGATTTAAAAGTGTGAAACCTGATGCTTTGTACCTCCATCCTGGATTACCTTACACTCCACAATTAATTAAGGTTAGACCGAGGCAGTCAGGTCCCTCATGGTCCTCTGAAAGTCAGAGCTGTGGAACCTGCAGACACTGGCCCTGATTCTCTGGTGATTACAGGGCTCACTGTAAATACTACACAAGGACGTGAGACATTAACTTGTTTGTTAAAAATGCTGTGTCTAATGAGATCTGTTCACTCTTTCACCGGAGGATTGGCTTGTGCATAAATTGAGTGTGTTTCAATGCATTTCGTCATTTTGACTGTTTCGACTTTCACCTGAAAATGGCACCAGAGGCACTTCCAATAGAAATTCTCTTTCCCATTCTTGCAATCTTTGGAATTCCTGGTAAGTAGGTAGAAGCTGCTGTGACATTACTCTTGCCTGTTCGGTTTTGAATTGAGTCTTTGCAATTTGCATACCCACCGAACAACTGAATCTCCTGCTTGTTGTTGAGTTTGCCTGCTCTTCATTACCATCAGTTTCAGTTTGAGAGTAACTGGTCCTGCCTGGGTTGTAAACAACTGTGCTTAACCCAACTAATGAAAACAAGAAAATGGCAGAGGAGTTAAGCAGGTATTTTGCATCAGTCCTTTCGTTGGAAGATACTTTGAGCATCTTACAATGCTACAGAGTACTATGGAGGATTTCAGCCCCATCTGCATCACTGAAGAAGGAATATTTGGAAAACGAAGGGGGTTAAAGGCAAATATGTTCCCTGGCCCTGATCCAATAAGAGATAGCTACAGAGATAATGGATGTATTGGCTGTAATTTTTTAAAAAATCCTTGGATTATGCAGAATTAGCAGAGGTTTGGAAAACTGACAACGTGACACAGCTATTTCAAAAGAGAGGGAGGCAAACATGGGTTACTATGTGGATTGTTTAAAATATATTGGAATCAATTAGTAAAGATGAGATAGCGTACCATTTGGAAAATCTTAATCTCATCGAGCAGAGTCAGCACAGCTCCATGAAAGGAAAATTGTGACTGACTAATTTATTGGAAATTTTTCAGGAAGTCTCAACTAGAATGGATAGAGGGGAATCAGTAGATGTGTTTTAATTGGGATGTCAGAAGGTGTTCAACAATGTTCCTCACAAAAGGATGAGTCATAAGAGCCCATGCTCTTGGAGGTAACTTAATAGTCTGGATTGAGAATTGTCCAATGGCCAGGAGACTGCGAGTGCTGATAAAGTATTCGCTTATAGCTTAACCTTCCGTGACCTATGGGGATCCACAGAGGTCAGTGCTGGGATTGCTACTGTTTACAATATATATTAACAACGTTGCGAATGGAAATGAATGTACTGTAGCTAAATTTGCAGATGACGCCAAACATAGATGGAAATGGAGATTGTGAGAAGGTACAACGGTTTACAGAGAGATATTGATAGGTTAAGTGAAACATTGGCAAATGGAGAGTAATGTGGAAAAAATATCACATTGTTCATTTTGGAAGTTAGAACAAAAGAACAGAGTTTTATTTAAACACAAAAAAAGCTGCAGGAAGCTGTAACACAAAATTAGTTAAGGTACTTGTGCATGAAACATGGAAAGCTAGCACAAAGGTGCAGCCGCTAATCAGGAAAGCTAACGGAATGTTGGTCCATATTTCAAGGGGGTTTGAGCATCAGTGTAAGGAAGTCTTACTGCAACTGTATATGGTGCTGGTGAGACCAAACCTGGAGTACTGTGTGCAGTTTTCGAACTGTTATTGAGGAAAAGAAAATAAAAACCATCGGAAGCAATTCAGACAAGGTGCATCAGGATGATCACAAGAGTGGAGGGAGTGTGTTATGACCAAAGATTAAACAGATTTGGACTCTACTCACTGGAGTGTAGAAGAATGAGAGGTGACCTCATTGACACATATTGGATTCTTAAGGGGCTCGACCATGTAAATGCTGGAGGATGGTTCCCCTCATGGGAGTTCTTTGGCTGTTTCTGCTTTCACCTGAAAACGGGACCACAAGCTGTTCTGAAAGAAATTCTCCTTCCCATCATTATAATCCTTGAATTTCCTGATCATTTTGTTGTGACATTTTTCTTGCCTGTTCTGTTGTGAAATGTCCCAGTGAAAATAAGCACAGAGTGAAGGAGTGATGAAATAATGCTGAGATGAGGAGGAATTTATTCTCTCAGTGGGTTGTGAGTCTTTGGAACTTCTTGCCACCGACAGAGCTGTGGAGGCAGAATCCTCATTTACATATGACCCTGAGACAGACAGATTCTTGATGGCGGTGGCAGACATTTCAAAATGACAACATTTTTGACAGAAGTAAGCCATAGGAGAGTAGAATCGGAACATATGTGTGAGAAGCAGGAATAGGCCATTTGACCCTTTGAACACCTGCCACCTTTCAGTAGGATCATGGCTGATCTGAGTGATCTCCACTGTCCTACCTGCATTTCGTTGCCCTTGAATCCCATGTGTATCCAAATTGTACTGAACTCAGTCTTCTAGACTCAGCCGCAACTATGTTTAGGTGAAAAAGATTCCATATGCTAACCACCCTCTGAGAGAATAAAAATCTCCATATCTCGGTTTGAAATGGGAAACTGCTTATTCTTAAACTGTGTCCTCTCGTTTTAATCTCGTCGCTCAAGAGAAAACCAGCTCCAGGTGTTCCACTTTATCCAGTGCCCTCATGATCTTAAATGTTTCAATGATATCACCTCACATCCTTCTGGACTCAAATGGATACAGGCATAACCTTTCTTCACCAAAAAAAGACATTAATCCCAGGAATGAGGCAGGGAAATCTTCTCTGATCTGCTTCTAAATTAGAAAAAAAAATGGAGACCAAGCCGTACAAAATTACCTTCTGATTAATTCCACGGCACAGACAATGCATTGACTCTGAGAGGGCACTATTTTTCATTTTTAAAAGTCGAGAATTACCAGCAGCATCCCAGAGTCTTGCAATTCCTGACCTCATCCATGCACATGTTTTCTGAAAGTTTGGTATGCCTCATGTCCGGATTTTTTTTTTTCAGCGAACGTGATGACAGTGTTGATTCTTTCTCAAGGGAAGTGCGGCCTTTCCCAAGGAATCACTCACTACATGAGGGCCATGGCAACGGCAGATCTGATGGTCCTTATCTTCAGTGTGATTGTGAACCAGATCATCAGGAATCATTTCCCAGGCTCGCCGTTGAACTACACTCCCATCTGCCGACTCAATGTTTTCCTGCAAGGGCTGAGCCTCCAGCTTTCCATCTGGTTTACCATAGCTTTCACCTTTGACCGCTTTGTAGCAATTTGCTGCCACAAATTTAAGGCGAGGTATTGCACTGTGAGCACGGCCAATGTAGTCATATCCACTGCGAGCATGCTTAACATTATGATCAACATCCCCTTACCTTTTCGATATGAGCCTGCTTATGTTGTGAACAGTGTACAGTGGGGCTGCCGCACCATCACCAGTTATCACACTTCACTGGCCTGGGCTGCTCACCGTTGGGTCACCAACATCTCAAACGCATTTCTTCCTATTCCCCTGCTCCTGTTGTTGAATTCTCTCACTGCCCAGCACATCCTACTGGCTAGCAGAGCTCGCCAAGGCCTGAAGAGCAGCAGCACTAGTGGTGCTAGGAAGTTGGGCAAAGACGCCGAGCTGAAGAGCAGGAGGACCTCCATCGTTCTGCTCTTCACCATCTCTGGGTGCTTCGTGGTGCTGTTGATGCCCATCACTTTGATCCATATCTGTGTCGGTGTCACTCAGACAGTGGCTTTCCAAGGATCGAAGTCACTCTATTTGGCAATCAGTGCAACGTACTTGATGATGTGCACCAGTTCCTGCACAAACACTTGTATTTACGCACTGACCCAGAGGAGATTCAGAGAGGAGTTGAAGAATCTGGTGAAATCTCCCTTTTCTCTGCTCTGTAAGCTACATGAATAATGTACATTTATGAGGGAGCTGATGATGTAATGATAACCTCACTGGACCAGCAATCCAAAATCCAAAGCTAATATTCTGGGTTCCAGGGCCAAACCCCGCCATGACAAACAGTGAAGTTTCCATTCAATAAAAAGCTCACCTAATGGTGACCATGCGGCCATTATTGATTGTTGAGCTTGAAAGTTACTTGCCATCTAAAAACTAATATCCGAAAGGAATTCTACCATCTTTACCTGGTCTGTCCTGCATGCGACATGAGACCTACAGTCGTGTTTGTGACTCTTAACTGCCCTCTGGTCAATAGATGCCAACCTAGCTAATGCCCAAATGAACAAAATAAACGTGTGTCTGCATGGATGATATCTGACAAACTGTGATCTCCAGTATCTGCTGTTTTCAGTACAAATTCCAGCGTCTGCAATAATTTGCTCCAAAAATACATGTGTACTGTGTCTATTTTTGTTTTTATAACTCTCAGTGCAATACATATTAGGTTTAGGAGAGTCCTTTCGGTTTCTGAATTCCCCAAAAGATTTGAACAACTAGAAGTGGTGCGAGGAGAGGTATAAGATGTAAATGTAGTGATAAGGATCATGTTGTGCATTGAAATTGTCCCTATCTCTTATCCTGAAGGCCTGGGCTGAACCTCATCTGTTTCAGAGATGCATTATAACACAGAAGACAAAGTTGTTTCAAGGATTTATATATTCTGGGACTTCTAGTAAATTGACACCAAATGTTAGTGAGATTACAGTTGCAGAGTATGGCGTAGTTTTGGGAGTCACATCGACAGGCTGGGGTTAACAATGAGGGTGTAGAAGAGTTTTACTGGGAAAATGCTAAATACAAATCCCTGTAACTATGAAGCAGAATCTGACACATTGTGTTTCTTTTCAGTCTTAATCTCAGTGAGTCCATTGATAGAGGCAATTAGAATGATAGAGGGTTGGCTCAGAGTGGATAGTAACAATGATGTATTGGTCGAGAAGCAGTGGATGTTGACGTGGAGATGAGCGGAAGGACATCCGGCTGACAACAGATGAACGTCGTGATTCTTGGTTATCTGAAACTGCGGGATAGTTTGTCAGAATTATTGAGAGAAGCAGCGACCAGACCAATATTGAGAATGATCGAAGACTGAGAAAACGATATTTCTTGATCGGGTGACATTGAAGGAATGGCAATATATTTCCAAGTTAGGGTCGTATGGTTTGAAAGGGAGTTTACAGCAGTGGCGTTCTCTTGTATCTGCTGTCCTTTATCATTTTAAATGGCAGGTTTTGGCAGATGCTGTCCCAGGAGCATTGGTAAGGTTTTGCATTGCATCTTATAGATGCAGCAGATGTGCTACGGTGGTAGATGGAGTGAATGTTGAACGTTTTAGATTGTGCATCATTGCTTGCCTCTTATCAGCCGAAGCTTCAATGTTGACCAACAGTTGTTACATATTAACATGAGTGGCACATGGAACTTAATTTAGATAGATGCGAGGAATTGCATTTAGGCAAGATGGCCATGGTAGGACTTACATATTTAATTATAGGGCCCTAGGCAGTGTCATCGAACAGAGAGACCAAGGGGTGACCTAATACAGATTTATAAAATCATGAGGGGTGTAGCTTGGGCGAATAGATGAAGTTTTTTCACCAGGATATGGGAGTCCAAGACTCGAGGGCATAGGTTTAAGGACAGAAGACCTTAAAGCGACTTGAGGGCAACATTTTCACACAGAGGGTGGCACGTATATGGAACCAACTACCAGACGAAGTGGTACATCTCAGTACAATTACAACATTTAAAAGGCATTTGGACAGGTACATGAATAGAAAAGCTTTAGAGGAATATGGGCCAAATGCAGGAAAATGGAACTAGTTTAGTTTAGTAAACCTGGTTATCATAGGAGAGTTGGACCAAATGGCGCGTTTCCGTGCTGTATGACTTGTTATGGCCCGCCCGGACCGACTGAAAATAGTTCAAGAAGGTAGCCTAGATCCTAACATTTTCTTATTTTAGAGGCAAAAGTAAAGTTCCAGATGCACGTGACTCGTCAAACTACTTGATATTAAGCTAAACAATTTATTCATACATTATATTTAAAACGCAATCAAGAAAGAAGTTAGAATAACTTAAATCTATTGGCAAACTTAACTGAATGATATAGTATCTATTATTAATTAACTGTTCCAACATAGTAACACCCTTTGGAAAAAAGCAAATGCAGAAAATAAAGATTGTTTTCACAAGCAATGCAACAGCAAAGAGAAACCCCAGCTTCCAGATATTCCTAAAAAAAACTGAAAATTACCGGAAGGCCTGCTCTGTTAGAGCTGGCGACACACAGTCAGGCTGCTTTTATTGTTCCAAAATTAAAAATACCCCAAGGCGTCACATGCTGTCTACTTTCATGGCTTTTGTAGACTGTGCTATACCGCTGCCTTACAACATCACTTTTAAGAAAAATCTGGACAAAACTACCTCTTGAAGCCACAGCATTTTCTTAGATTCAATGACTCCATGACTGTTTTAGTTTCTGTGCAATTGTGAATGGCACTGAACATTATGCAATTATCAAAGTACATCTCCAGTTTTGACCTTATGGTGGTGAGAAGATCATTGATGAAGCAGCTTAACTGCTGGATCATGATGAACTAATTATTTGACCAATTGATTGTATAGAATTCTGAAGTTACACTAAAAATTGTAATGATTCTGTTGATCTCTCTGGAGACCTTCTTTCCGTACTGATTCGTGACTGACTTTCCTGGTCTCCTGCACATCTAGCACAAAGTAAAACATTCCCATCCTCAATGTGACTGAGGAGCATAGCTTTAAACTGCAGGAGGAAAGCAACAGACTTTTCAAATGCACAGAACAGGCAAATGGAATCCAATCGAGAAAAGTGTGACCAATGTACTTGGTGTGGGAGAAAGGTGACAAGGTAACAAGTCACACTATTTCACATCCAGTATTGCATAATACATCAATACAAATTAGCAAACTCATAATAAATGATCCCTTAGGAAATATTGATCATAATACAAGTGGATTCCTCATTAAGCTTGAGAGAGGCAAAATGAGTCCAAAACAAGAACCTCAAAGTTGAATTTAAACAAAGCCGATGTCAGAAGAAAACCGAATGAAATTGATTTAGGAATTAACCTGAAGGCTATGGAAGCAAATAAACCTTGTAAAACATTTAAATAAATAAACAACAACTCAGGAACATGAACAGGTGGGTTGAGTGTGACTGTTCTTGACATCAAGACCACGTTTGTCGAACTGTGATATCAAGGAGCCTGAGCCAAACTTGACTAAATAGGACACGGAGGGGAAACCACGTTGCTGGTTGTGGTCCTGCCTGGCAATTATGAAGATGGCTGTTGGTTATTGGTGGTTGGTCATTTCAGCTCCAGGACATTTCTGCAGGAGTTCCTCAGGACTGCATTCCAGGCCCAACCATCTTTCGTGACTTCATCAATGTTTTACTTGAAGATGTTTGAACGGCTGGAAGTTCTAGATTGAGATAAGGATTGACATGGATAGATGAGTTGAGACCAGGGATTGTAAGTATTAGATTGTCGCCAGGGATTGTAATAAGGACTTCAGGAAGATTGTCTTTCAAAGGATTAATTGGTGAAGCCAAAATTGTGTGCTGATGCTACAAAAACATTTGGACTCCAGACCTACTGAAAGTCGTAATCAAGTTATGGATGACAGAATGGAATTCAACTGAGGCAGTCTCATGGCCCACTGGGAAAGTGAACTGATCTGTGGAAGGTTTAAATAAGTTACTAAAATGTGCCCAATTTACTTTTCGGATAAACTCGGGTAAACAGAAATGACCAATCGGGTTTCGATACTGAACAAGAAATGACTAATCATTGCAAAGAAATCAGCTCTAATCACACGAAACCAAAATATGAAATATCAACTTATAATTGAATCAGTTGAAGCTCTCCCCTAGTCAATCTGTGAAGAGTGGCTTTGATGGGGTACTTTGTTTGTCAATGCCTTATTTGTCAATGCCCTCGCCACAAAACAGCTGTTCAATCATCAGCTCCTTTGCCAGCAGTAACTGTGATATATGGACGAGCCTGCAGCAACTCATTTAGATTCAGTCTAATCCATGTGGAACAACGGAAGACCTTTTGAAGTTTTCTTTCTTTTTCTGTCTATTTGCCCCACTCTTTCTTACCCTCTCCCCCCTTCTGTCTGTCCTTCTGTTTCTCTTTAACTCTCTGTTTCTCTCTCTATGACCTCACCCACACCTTTGTCCCTCTTTACCTTCGTTTTTTTTTCCTTTCCCTTTCTCTGCACTGCTGTCTCTGTTGTACCATTTCAAGCCCCTCACACTCACCATCTCTCTCTCTATCTCTCCGGCTCTCTCTCTCTCTCTGTCTCTCCTCCATCCCCATGACACGCAGAGGCTTCCTCGCCTGACGTGTATTTATGATATTTTATGTCATTGTTTCAGATTCCTGTGAATTTTTATTTTTGCTAAATTTAACTAATCTGAATGCAATAACATAGTGATAGCGTACTGAGTCATCTGCTCAATGTTTAACATTAGTTGAACTTCTTTCCTTCTTTAGTCAGCTTATGTATATTGTAAACCTGTCTACTGAATTGATTTCAATCAGAGTCAAAACAACTCAATAAATGAATTAAAGCATTTTTGATTTTTCACCCTTCCCTTCTGCTGAGCAAATGTTCATTCAATTTACAGATGATTTTATGGGCTTTTAAAGTCATTTTAGCCGAAAGAAGTGTTCATTTTTCCCATAATTTGTGTGGATATTGTTTACTTTGTTAACGAATCCAAAATGACTCTGACACGAAAGAAGGTAAGTGAATGCATCGTGTCATCAGCAAGGTATGGTCATGTCATTGAAAGTTTAGGCAAGGCATGTTAACAGGATAGATGACTGAGTCACTTGGTTATCAACACATATGTCGGCATTAGTGATCTATAAAAAGTGGTAGTTATTGTTCTGATAAAA